TTTGTATTTTTAGTAGAGACGGGGTTTCACCATGTTAGCCAGGATGGTCTCGATCTCCTGACCTTGTGATCCGCCCGTCTCGGCCTCCCAAAGTGCTGGGATTACAGGCTTGAGCCACCGCGCCCGGCCTGATTTAAATATTAAATATAACCGTGCTTTGGAAATGAAGCAATCATACGGCTTGGTTTAACAGTGGCTACTACTTCTGGGAAATGCTTGGGGGAAAAAAGCATTCAGGAGTTGACCCCTGAACGATATGGGTTTGAACGCCCAGGTCCACTTACATGTGGATTTTTTGTTTGCTTTTTGAGATGGAGTCACGCTCTGTCGCCCAGGCTGGGCAATCGTGCAGTGGCGCGATCTCGGCTCACAGCAACTTCTGCCTCCTGGATTCAAGCGATTCTCCTGCCTCAGCCTCCTGAGTAGCTGGGATTACAGGTGCCCACCACTGCGCCCGACTAATTTTTGCATTTTTAGTATAGAGGGTGTTTCACCATGTTGGCCAGGCTGGTCTCGGACTCCTGACCTCAGATGATCTGCCTGCCTCTGCCTCTCAAAGTGCTGGGACTACAGGTGTGAGCCACCATGCAGAGCCAGAATTTTTTTTTTTTTTTTTTAGATGGAGTCTCGCTCCACTGCCCAGGCTGGAGTGCAGTGGTGCCATCTCGGCTCATTGCAACCTCTGCCTCCCGGGTTCAAGCGATTCTCCTGCCTCAGCCTCCCGAGTAGCTGGGATTACAGGCACGCGCCACCACGCCCAGCTAATGTTTGCATTTTTAGTAGAGATTGGGTTTCGCCATGTCGGCCAGGCTGGTCTCAAACTCCTGACCTCAGGTGATCCATCCGCCTGGGCCTCCCAAAGTGCTGGGATTACAGGCATGAGCCCCAGCGCCTGGCCTCTTCATGGATTTTTGACTGTGCAGGTGGTGGGCTGTAATTGTTCAAAGGGCAACTATAATTGAGAAATTGATTCCAAATGGGAAGAAAAATTTTAGGATCACTCCACAGTGAATGAAACTCACCCAATGCCACATTTTGTAGGCAGTTAATGAGCCATTTTTCACCTCTTTCTCTCCCGCTGTCTGTCTCCACCTGTTCTCTTTTCAGTCAATGCACCCCCCTCCCACCTCCAGGCCAATCATGTTCATAGTAATGCAGCCCTAGGGGAAGGCTTGTGTCTCACTTACTAGCTGTGTGACCTTGAGCAGGTGTCTTAACCTCTCTGGGCTTCCTGCCCTCATCTATAAAATGAAGATAATAAAAGCTCCTGCTTCATTACATGGTGGTGAGGATTAAATGAGCTGACACCTGCAAAGCACATCTTATGTTCTCTATCGTGCTCAAAAATCAACAAAAATGAAAATAAAATAAATAAGCCAGGCACAGTATCGCACTTCTGTGGTCCCAGCTACTTGAGAGGTTCAGGCAGGAGGATCTCTTGAGCCCAGGAGTTTGAGACCAGTCTGGACAACACAGTGAGACCCCATCTCTTAAAAACAAAAACAAAAACAAAAAAAACTTAGGGCCAGGCATGTCTGTAATGGCTCATGCCTGTAATGGCAACCCTTTGGGAGGCCGAGGTGTGTGGATCACTTGAGGTCATGAGTTTGAGACCAGCCTGGCCAACATGGGGAAACCCCATCTCTACTAAAAATACAAAAAAATTATGGGCGTGGTAGTGTGCTGTAGTCCCACCTACTCAGGAGGCTGTGGCATAAGAAAAGAATCACTTGAACCCAGGAGACGGAGGTTGCAGTGAGCCAAGATCACAACACTGCACTCCAGCCTGAGCAACAGAGTGAGACTCCTTCAAAACAAAAAAAAAAGAAGAAAGAAAAACTTAAAGGAAATAAAAGAAATAAAAGTGTATTCAATGATATTAAATTAAAATGTTTTAAATAAAATTAAAATGAATAATGAAATGAAAGGGAACATGATAATTAATAAATAGTTTAAAAATAAAATGGGCTGGGTGCAGTGGCTCACGCCTGTAATTCCAGCACTTTGAGAGGACAAGGTGGGCGGATCACCTGAGGTCGGGAGTTTGAGACCAGCCTGACCAACATAGTGAAACCCTGTCTCTACTGAAAATACAAAAAAATTAGCCAGCCATGGTGGCGGGCGCCTGTAGTCTCAGCTATTTGGCAGGCTGAGGCAGGATAATTGCTTGAACCCGGGAGGCGGAGGTTGCAGTGAGCAGAGATCATGCCACTGCACTCCAGCCTCAGCAACAGAGTGAGACTCTGTCTCAAAAATAAATAAAATGAACCCAAACAACTGAAGGAAGCCACAGAGGGGTCATGACATGCCCAGAGTTACCCAGGACACCAGGGACAGAGGAAGAATCTGAACTCAGAGCCACCTGATTCTATCCCAGGCTTGGCTGGGTGCAGTGGGTCACACCTGTAATCCCACCACTTTGGGTAGGAGGTAGGAGGATCGCTTGAGGCCAGGAGTTTAAGACTAGCCTGGGCAACACATCTCTACAAAAAATAAAAATTAGCCCAGTGTGGTGGTGCACGCCTGTAGTCTCTGCACTTTGGGAGGCTGAGGCAGGAGGATCGTTTGAGCCCAGGAGTTGGAGGCTGCAGTCGGCTGAGATAGCACCATTGCACTCCAGCCTGCATGACAGAAAGAGACTCTGTCTCAAAAAAAAAAAAAAAAAAAAAATTGGACCAGGCGTGGTGGCTTATGCCTGTAATCCCAGCACTTTGGGAGACCAAGGCAGGTGGATGACCTGAGGTCAGGAGTTCAAGACCGGCCTGGCCAACATGGTGAAATCCTGCCTCTACTAAAAATACAAAATTAGCCGGGCATGGTGGTGCATGCCTGCAATCCCAGCTACTCAGGAGGCTGAGGTAAGAGAATCGCTTGAACCTGGGAGGTGGAGTTTGCAGTGAGCCGAGATTGAGCCATTGCACTCCAGCCTGGGCGACAAGAGGAAAACTACATCTCAAAAACAAAATAAAATAAAAAATGTAATCCAGGCTTGTTCCACAGGACTCTCTTTTTGACTTTTCAAAAATGGCTTTTAAAGATCCTGAGCTCGGCCAGGCGCGGTGGCTCAAGCTTGTAATCCCAGCACTTTGGGAGGCCGAGACGGGCGGATCACGAGGTCAGGAGATCGAGACCATCCTGGTTAACATGGTGAAACCCCGTCTCTACTAAAAAATACAAAAAAACTAGCCGGGCAAGGTGGCGGGCGCCTGTAGTCTCAGCTACTTGGGAGGCTGAGGCAGGAGAATGGTGTAAACCCGGGAGGCAGGGCTTGCAGTGAGCTGAGATCCGGCCACTGCACTCCAGCCTGGGCGACAGAGCGAGACTCCGTCTCAAAAAAAATAATAATAATAAAATAAAATAAAATAAAATAAAATAAAAAATGAAATCTAGGTTTGTTCCACAGGCCTCTCTTTTTGACTTTTCAAAAATGGCTTTCAAAGATCCTGAGCTCCCACTCACTTGCACTCTCCGCTCCTGCCAAGAGAATCCGCCTGTCATGCCCGTGAATCAAGCAGACCTGGTCCAGCCTCCGAATCTGTCCCCACACAGGTCCGTGCTCCGCTCCTCACATGCCTGCCTTCACTTCTCTAAATCCTCCCTATTCTTCCAGGCTCTGCTCTGGTGCTGCCTCCTCCAGGCAGACTCCCTGATTTCTCCAGACCACACCGGTTGGGGAGGTTGTATCCCATGATGGGAAAATTAAAGGGTCCAAGTCAAGTTTGCCCACCCAGGCCAGGCACAAAGAGGTGCTCAGGAAGGCTGCCTGCCTGTCCCTGGAGGGGAGTCCTCCCTGTCATCCTCTCCATCTGTGCCCTGAACTGGCCGCCACAGGGACTTGGGGAGCTGAGAGGGAGTGAGGATGATGGAGGAAGAAGCATGTCTTTCTAGGAGTTCATAGCTAAAGAGACGGATGCAAGAGAAGACAGCTGGATCTACCTCACGGCCTTTGAACTGGCTGTTCCAGCCACTTGGAATGCAATTCCTGCAAACTCCCTCCCCCACTCCCCTTCCCCTTCTTTTTTTTTTATTTTTATTTTTTTTATTTTTGAGATTGAGTCTCACTCTGTTGCCCAGGTTGCAGTGCAATGGCACAATCTTGGCTCACTGCAACCTCCACCTCCCGGGCTCAAGCAATTCTCCTGCCTCAGCCTGGGCTCAGAGTAGCTGGGATTATAGGTGGCCGCCACCACACCCAGCTAATATTTGTATTTTTAGTAGAAACAAAGTTTCACCATGTTGGCCAGGCTGGTCTCGAACTCCTGACCTCAAGTGATCTGCCTGCCTCGGGTTCTCAAAGTGCTGGGATTACAGTCATGAGTCACCATACCCAGCTCTCCCCTTCCCTTTCCAGTCTTTGCTCCAATATCACCTTCTCTGGGAAGCCTTCCCTGGCCACCCTCTTAAAAACTGCAGCCACCTCCCCTGCCCAGGATGCTTCAATTCCCTTTTCCTGTTTTGTCTGTCTTCGCGACACAAAACACACATTGTCACTTATTTACCTTGTTTCGTGTTCATCTCCCGTACTCAGCGGTCGGCTCCACGAGAGCAAGGATTTTTGCCTACCCTATTCCCTGGCTGATTCCCCGATACCTGGAGCAGCGCCTGCTATCTAAATATGTGCTGAGTACACACGCTCCAAAGCAAAAGATCAAGGTCCAAGGGAAAGTGGGTCCTTGGAAAAGCAAGGGGTCACTGTGGCCGGGGAGAGCGGAGATTGGATGGGGAGGTGGTACTGGGGCCAAACTGTGATGAGGAGGGTCTGATAGGTGGCAATGTAGGGAGAAGCTATTGCATGGGGAGCAGACTAGGGCCTGGGCAAAGGCCTGGGCTGGAAAGCTTGTACGGGGAGCAGGGGGGAGGTCAGGACGCTAGGGGGCAGCAGAGAGGAAAGGAGAAGAGGTGGGTACTGGAATGAAAGGGAGGGTCTTCAGCCAAGCCCCAGGAGAGAGAAGCCTGAAGTTGGGGGGGCGTGTATCCGGCATCTAAGGCCTCACACTCACCTCTGTCTTCTTAAATCGCGCCCTGAGAGTCTTCATGGTCGGTGCCCTGCGTTTCTCCTCTTCCCAGGCCACCTGAGGAAGGTCAAGGGTGGGGGTAAGGTGAGGGACACCAGTCCCGGTGGGTGGCAGGGTCCCTTGCCTCTCCCTCCTCAAAAGGGCCACTTCCTCCTCCCTGACCAGTCCTGGCCCCCTAGAACAAGACACAGACCTGCTGTCTCTCCTACCTGCTGTGTGTCCTTTGGCAGGTTACTTGCCCTCTCTGTTTTTATTTCCCTCATCTATAAAATGACAGAAACGATCCTTTCTTGAGCAACTCATGGTCAGTTTTCAGTATGGTCCCAACATAGAGCCTGGCCAAACATGAGGGGCTCCATAAATGCATCTCGCTGGTATTTCCTGTTGTCCAAACAGATCAAGCCTTCTCTGGTCTAACTTTTCTCTCTGTGCAGTTATTTCTGCCTAGAATGGTTTCCTTTTTCTTCTCTGAACTCCTACTCATCCTTCAAAACCCAGTTACCAAAATCCCTTGCTCTGATCAGCTTTGCCTCTCGTTCCCAAGCAGAGATCTAACTCCCCAAATCGGGTTCCCGCCTACGCTGGCTGGGTCTCTTCCTCTGCCTCACCCCTGGCTCCATGGGCTGGAAGGGTCTGGGCTGATTCTGTCTTTTGCAACAGTCGGGGGCTCCCTGGGGACTGAAGCCAGGGCTGAGGGCTCTCAGCACAGAGGCCTGTTTCCTAGATAATCAGAGGGAACCTCCATGTGACAGCAATTCACCCATAGTGGGTGGAGGTCTGGGGCGATGGCTGCATGCATGTGTGTGACGTGAGCGTGGGGCATGTGCACGTCTGTACACCTGGGCCTGTTCTATGTTCCGCATATGCAGGCACGGAGGTCAGGCAGGACTATCTCGAGGGGGTGTGTTTTTTGAGGGGTGTGACTGTGAGGCCCTATGTCTGAAAGGGATCTTTGTGATGGAGAATCTGTATTTGCCTCTTACCAGGGAGTAGGGGTTGGGATGGCCTCTATCTGTCCACCTACCTACCTGTGAATTCTCCAAGCCACCCTTCCACCCAGTTACCACCTATGCACTCACCTGGGCATCCATCCTCCCACCTAAGCACTGTACACCCACCCACTGGCCACCACCCACAAACTCACCCACCCAATTTGTGTTCTCATGGTTCTTCATCACCCTTTATTCAGGCTTCACCCACACATCCATCCACCTGCCCAAACACCTACCAACTCCCACCATTCATCCAACCACTCATCTGCCCATCCATCCACTTATCCATCCCTCCATCCATCCACCCAACCACCCATCCATCCATCTGCGCATCCATCCATCCATCCATCCATCCATCCATCCATCTGCCCACCCAATCACCCACCCATCAACCCACCTACCTATCCACTCATCCACTCATCCATCCACTTATCCATCCATCCATCCACCCACCCACCCACCAGTCCATCCATTCATCCACCCATTCATCCATGGATGCATGCATTGATCGATCCATCCATCCATCCATCCATCCATCCATCCATCCATCCATCTACCCATTCATCCATCTACCGAACTGCCAATCCATCTATTCGCCCCCCATCCATCTACCCACCCATCCATTCACTTACCCCTCCACCAGTACCCATTCACTCACTACCTACCCTTTCTTCTTCTACCTCTGACTGGAGGATTCAATCACACCCAAAGCCGGGGGTAATAAGACACCCAACAGAGGAGTTCACAGGCTGCTTGGGAGAAGACAGTCTGTGGGCTTGGGGGAGGGAAAAATGCCTGCTAAATTTAGGGAGCTGCTTGCTGGAAGAGGTGATGGTAAATAAGAAGGGCCTGATGGCCGGGTGGGATGTTGAGCACCAGCCTTGGAGGAAGTGAGGCAGGGCACAGGCCGGCAAGTGCGAAGTGCGTGGGTGAAGGAGTGCATGTGTGTGTCAGGGTACCCGGGTAGCTCTGAAGCCTGGCTGGGACCCAGCACAGCTTCTTTCTCCCACACACAAGGGCTCAGGGGCTTGGGGCCCTAAAGGGATCCTCCATCCTGGGCCTCTCCCACCTCCTTCCTCCCCTACCTCCTGCAGCTCCAGTGCCCCGAGCTCCCGGCCACAGTGCCCACTGCCGGCTCCGGTTACCCACTCCCAGCTGGGCCACGAGCAGCTCCAGCCGCTCCACTCTGACACCTGATCGGCTCTGAGCGGGCGGCCGCCCCAGGGGGCCGAGGATGAGCCGAGGGAGGAGACAGGCTGGCAGCGGACTGCCTGTTGGCCAACTGGCTCTGGCGGGAAGACACCCACGATCTTCCCTGTCATCACTGGACTGATTTCAGTTTCTGGAAGGAGCCATGCTCTTCCTCTCTTCTCAGCCTTTGCACTTGCTGTTCCCCTGACCATGAACATTCTTTCTGTACTTCATGTCACCCCCAACCGGCTCTACCTGGCTTTAGATCTTTGCTGCAACATCTCCTCCTCCAGGAAGCCCTCCCGGATGCCCCCAGCCTGGGTCAGGTGCCTCCTGTGAGCTTCCTCATTGCCCTGTGCCCTCTTTGTCACCCATTGCACCCCAACCGCACCATGTCACCATTACCTGGTCACATGTTTGTGTCCACCCCCAGCCACCAGGGCATAGATGGCACCACCTTTGTTCAAAGTAGGTACTCAACACATGATTCTTAAATGAGTCCTCCAGGCCACCAGCCCCATTGACCTTGAGCAGGACCGTCCTGCAGAACGCAGAACCTCCAGTTGGATGATACTCAAATAACCTGGCCGGGCGCAGTGGCTCAGGCCTGTAATCCCAGCACTTTAGGAGGCCGAGGCCGGCGGATCACCTGAGGTCAGGAGTTCAGGACCAGCCTGACTAACATGGTGAAACCCCGTCTCTACTAAAAAATACAAAAATTTGCTGGGCGTGGTGGCGGGCGCCCGTAATCCCAGCTACTAGGGAGGCTGAGGCAGGAGAATCGCTTGAACCTGAGAGGCGGAGGTTGCAGTGAACCGAGATCGCTCCACTGCGCTCCAGCCTGGGCCACAGAGCGAAGCTCCCCCTCACAGAAAAAAAAAAAAAAAAAAAAAAAAAAAAAGATACTCTGATAACTCTGAGTGGTGGCATTCAAAACCGTTGGACTGGGGTCCCTGCCGTCCGGCTCCGTCCTTACGGAATTTACTAATCCGTAAAAGGGGTTGTGGGGGCATCGATAGCCTGTGTCCCTCATTTTAGAGGTGACTGGAGAACTGTCACGTAGGTGACCGCCCCAATTTCCCGCCCGGGTCATAGGGCAGCCTCTTCCCAAGCCGCGCGAACGCCTGCATGCAAAGAGCCAGGTTTCCTTCTGACAGCAGTTAACATGGCGCCTGCGGCGTCAGCACGAGGCGCATGCGCCTTGCTGTGGGAGGCCGGGTGCGCAGGACGAGAACGCCGTTCCTCCTTCTTCCCCGCCCCGCCCCGCTTCCGGCGGAAGCGGCCTCAACAAGGGAAACTTTATTGTTCCCGTGGGGTAGGCGAGGATGTCGGTGAATTATGCGGCGGGGCTGTCGCCGTACGCGGACAAGGGCAAGTGCGGCCTCCCGGAGGTGAGCGCGTCCGAGGGTCCCGAGCTTCGCGCCCCGGGGCCGCGGGGCATTGTGGGAATATCAGGAGGCACTGAGGCTAGACCATGGGAGGGACTTCCCAGTGAGGAAGGGGCGGGAAGTGACGCCCCTGCGCGCCGGGGGACGCGAACACGCCCAACTCTGTGGCCAGCCTGTCCGGGCTGATGGGGGAGAGAGGGGATGTAGTTCCAGGAGGAGGGGACGACAGGCGCAAAGGCAGGGAGGTGGGAATAAACACATTTGGAGAACGATTAGGCCTGGGAGGTTTCCAGAGTTGGGCCAGGACGAGGCTCAAATGCCAGGCTGGGGAGTTGGTACTTTATCCTGAGGGTGATGGGGAACGGTTTTGCCCTGGCGAGGGGCCTGGACAGAATGTGCCAGAAAGATCCCTCCAGCCACTCGGAGGGGAAGTGGAGGGATCGGCTGCCCCCACCGCGCACTGTGGGACTTTGGGGAAGTCATTTCCCTTCTGGGTCTCCATCTCTATCCTTCCTGCAAACGAGGGGAACATGGCCCCATTCCAAAAAGGCTGGCCCATGCATTCTGAATCATGCATTTAATGAGAGCCGATGGTGTGCGCCCGTCCAGAAGCCCCACTCTTCATGCTGCTGTTAGTCACTTTATTTTATTATTATTATTATTATTTATTATTATTATTGAGACAGAGTTTCTGTGTCGCCCAGGCTGGAGTGCAGTGGCACGATCTCGGCTCACTGCAACCTCCCCCTCCCAGGTTCAAGTGCTCCTGCCTTAGCCTCCTCTGTAGGGTAGATGAGATTGCAGGCACCTGCCACCACGCCCAGCTAATTTGTGTGTTTTTAGTAGAGGCGCGGTTTCACCATGTTGGCCAGTCTGGTCTCGAACTCTTGACCTCAAGTGATCCACCCACCTTGGCCTCCCAAAGTGCTGGGATTACAGGCGTGAGCCACCACGCCCGGCCTGTTAGTCACTTTATTCTACCAACATTTATGGAGTACCTACCGTGGGTCAGGCACTTTCTAGGTACTAGGGCCACAGCCAGGAGCAAGACAGATTAAAAACCCCTCTTTCTAGTAAGAGAGACTGACTAGGGGTTGCATGGAAACCAGGTGGCCAAGGGAGGCGTCACTGTCACAGAAGTGACATCTGAGCCACAAGTTACAGGAGGTGAGGGAGGGAGCCATGTGGGTATCTAGGGGAAGAGCATTAAAGGGTGTGGCCCTGAAGCAGGACTGTGCCTGGTGTGATGGAGGAACAGGGAGGAGACCTGTGTGGCTGGAGCAGAGTGAGGCGGGGAGAGGGAGGAGAAGAGGGCAGGGAGGGGGCAGGGGAGGTAGTACAGGGCCTGGTGGGCCGTGGGGAGGGCTAGGGCTTTGACAAGGCAAGTGGGAGTCATGGAAGGTTGTAGGCAGAGGAGGGGCATGAGGACAAGCTGCCTTTTCCAATCCGTTTTCCTCCCTCAGGCAAGACAGGGACAGCTCAGTCTGTGGCTTGTGTGTGGCCTTGCCACTCGGGGAACTGTTTTGACCCCTCCATCTGCTCTCTCCCCCCACAGATCTTCGACCCCCCGGAGGAGCTGGAGCGGAAGGTGTGGGAGCTGGCAAGGCTGGTCTGGCAGTCTTCCCATGTGGTGTTCCACACGGGTGCCGGCATCAGCACTGCCTCTGGCATTCCCGACTTCAGGTCTGTGAGTGTGCAGGGGAATTCGAGGCAAGGCCCACCAGGCTGCCAGGGGCTTCCTTGCGAGCCATATACATCTGGGAATTAGAACCCATCCATCTGCTGTTCTCCTGGATGTGTCCTGGGTACTGGAAAGGGGCAACACCCCCTCCCCGTAAGATGTGTCCCTTGGCTGGGCGTGGGGGATCACAAGGTCAGGAGTTCCAGACCAGCCTGGCCAATATGATGAATCCCTGTCTCTACTAAGAATACAAAAATTAGCCAGGTGTGGTGGCACACATCTGTAGTCCCAGCTACTTGGGAGGCTGAGGCAGGAGAATCTCTTGAACCTGGGAGGTGGAGGCAGTGAGCCGAGATCGCACCACTGCACTCCAGCCTGGGCGACAGAGTGAGGCTCTGTCTAAAAACAAACAAAACAAAATGAAGATGTGTCCCTGTCACAACCAGCATTCCACTCACCCCATTGGCCAGAACACAGTCGCCTGATCACATTTGGCTTCAAGGAATGCTGGGAAATGTAGTCTTTCACACTTGCAAGTGTAGCCAGGCATGGTGGCGGGCACCTGTAATCCCAGCTACTTGGGAGGCCAAGGTGGGAGAATCGCTTGAACCCGGGAGGTGGAGTTCGCAGTTAGCCACGATCGTGCCATTGCACTCCAGCCTGGGCGACAGAGCCAGACTCCATCTCAAAAAAAAAAAAAAAAAAAAGAATTCCAAGGCGTGAATTTCTACTCCTCCTCCTCTTCCATAACCTGCTGTGGCTTCCCATTGCCAGGCAGTGTAGAGTTCTGAATACCTTGTGCTGGAAGCTGAAGCCCTTCCTGCTCCAGCCCTGAATCACCTCTCCAACTTCAGCCCCTCCTGCTCCTGCTGCAGCCCCAAAACACCTGCATTTCCCCGCTCTTCCCAGCACCCAGGCCTTTGTTTACGCCTTCTGGCTGATCTTCCCTCTCACCCTTCAAGAAACTGCTCAGCCTCCTCCAGGAAACCCAGTCAAGCCTGGACCAAAAGAGATACCTGGGCCTGGAGAAGCCCAGGGCCCCCAACACCTCCACTGGGCTTCCCCAAGCCCGGGTACCTCCTCTGGTCCAGGCTTGACTCTTGGGGCCAGAGGGTCTGTGTCCACATGTCTCCCCCAAGATCAAGGGCTTCTGGAGGGCAGGGCTTGGGTCCATGTGGGCATCGTCCGGGCTCATTGCAGCAGCAGTGCTGGTTGAATAGAACAAGTCATTTTTGCCTTGGTGTGAATTCATCTCTCTCTGCCTCTCCCTCTCTCTTTCTCTCTCCTATTCTGTCTCTGACTTGCTTTCTTTGTCTTTCACTCTTTATCTCTCTGTCTGTGTCTTGTTCTATCCCCCTCTCCCTGTTCTTCCGACTCACCCTCTATTTCTCTCTTTCTGATTCCCTCTCTCTGTCTCCCGATTGTCTCTCTCTCCAACTTTCTCTCTATGCCTCTCTGATGCTCCCTCTGTCTCTTCTTCTGTTCCCCTCTGCCTGTCCATCTCTCCCGGCCTGTCACCTTCAGGGGTCCCCACGGAGTCTGGACCATGGAGGAGCGAGGCCTGGCCCCCAAGTTCGACACCACCTTTGAGAGCGCACGGCCCACGCAGACCCACATGGCGCTGGTGCAGCTGGAACGCGTGGGCCTCCTTCGCTTCCTGGTCAGCCAGAACGTGGACGGGCTCCATGTGCGCTCAGGCTTCCCTAGGTAACACCCGGGCCCCGCCCCCCCCAGGAAAGCACTTGGGGCCCCATAAACCGGGTTTGCGTTTTTAGGGGGAAAGTGCCCTTTTCCTGGTTCTGTAAGATTCTAGCCCTGAGCTCTCTGGATCTTTCTTGGCCCAGTGTGTGGAGATTTCTGAGCCCCATGGCTCAGAGCTGTCCCCGCCGGGGCCAGAGGCAGAATTTCCCTTGGGATGGGGCCGAGTGGAGCAGAGCTGTCAGGGTCTAGAAGTTGCAGTTTGTTGTTGTTGTTGTTGTTGTTGTTTTTGAGACCGAGTTTCACTCTTGTTGCCCAGGCTGGAGTGCAATGGCGTAATCTCGGCTCAGCCTCCCGGGTTCAAGCAATTCTCCTGCCTCAGCTTCCTGAGTAGCTGGGATTACAGGCAGGTGCCACTGCATCCAGCTAATTTTGTATTTTTAGTAGAGACGGGGTTTCTGCATGTTGGTCAGGCTGGTCTTGAACTCCTGACATCAGGTGATCCGCCTGCCACGGCCTCCCAAAGTGTTGGGATTACAGGCGTGAGCCACCGCGCCCGGCCTGTTGTGTTTTTAATTTCCATCTTTATTAATCTGACACTAAACGTGTCTAACACTGAAGTGAACCTGTGCTCTGGGGCTGACTGATTTCCTAATAGAGGTGTGGCCCTCCCCTGCCCCTCTTTGCCGGGTCTCACCCCTGAAGCAGCCGGTGACAGCCAGGTCAGTTGTTGAACAAGGAGCTGGGCACCCAGGGGTAAGGGGTGAGGAAGAGCTTTTTCTCTGCTTATGAAAGCAAAGGAGAGGCCGGGCACGGTGTCTCACATCTGTAATCCCAGCGCTTTGGGTGGCCAAGGAGGGTGGATCACAAGGTCAAGAGTTCGAGACTAGCCTGGCCAACATCGTGAAACCCCATCTCTACTAAGAATGCAAAAATTAGCTGGGCGTGGTGCACACACCTGTAATCTCAGCTACTCGAGAGGCTGAGTCAGGAGAATCACTTGAACCCGGGAGGCAGAGGTTGCAGTGAGCCGAGATGGTGCCACTGCACTCCATCTTGGGCGACAGAGCAACACTCTGTCTCAAAAAAAAAAAAAAAAAAAAAGCAAAGGAGGGCTGGGTATGGTGACTTGTGCCTGTAATCCCAGTACTTTGGGAGGCCGAGGCGGGTGGATCACAAGGTCAGGAGATCAAGACCATCCTGGCCACATGGTGAAACCCCGTCTGTACTAAAAATAGAAAAATTAGGCCAGGCACGGTGGCTCACGCCTGTAATCCCAGCACTTTGGGAGGCCAAGGCGGGCAGATCACGAGGTCAGGAGATCAAGACCATCCTGGCTAAAATGGTGAAACCCCCTTTCTACTAAAAATACAAAAAATTAGCCAGCCCATCTCAAAAAAAAGAAAAATTAGCCAGGCATGGTGGCGGGTGCCGGTAGTCCCAGCTACTCAGGAGGCTGAGGCAGGAGAACCGCTTGAACCCAGGAGGCGGAGGTTGCAGTGAGCTGG